TTTTTAGTTCAGCTCTCTTAAAAAACACTGTTATTGTTGTTGTCATTATAATCATTACTATAATTGTTTTGGTTGAAAATTATATTATTTTTCAGTTCAGTTTTTTCTAGAAATCTTTGTTAATATTAATATGATTATTATAATTCGTTATTATTATATTTATTGTATCAGAGTATTATGTTTTTTTTTTCAATTTTTACTCCGGTATCTTTTTCAATTACGTCTGTTTTCTTTGAGTAACTCATTTGCTTCGCTTAAATTTGTTATTTCCGTCACAGCCCAAGTGATGAGTTATTTTTAATTACAGCAAAGCGAAAAGCAAAGAACACAATGTTCGATTCGTTTCGGTACCCGGAGGCGGTGTGTCGAAAGCGGTCTACTTCCCAATCGTACCGACCAGGATTGGCGATGTAATGCTTTCAGCCGTGGCACAGTCGGCAAAAGCAGGTGATGCTGTGGAGCAAATCCTTCGAGTGGAGGTACTTTTTTGTAAAATAATGTATAAAAAACAAATTTCAGTTCCTCGACATGGAAGTGAAGCCAGATCCCTTTATCCTCCCACTGCAAGCTTGTGATGTCCTGTTTCTGGATGTTACTCATGAATTTTTCAGTCAGAAGGATATCGAGTAGAGAGAAATGTTCCACTGGTCATCGATTTAACAGGCAAAGATGCAGGGAATAGCAGCGATAGGTTCAAGAAGCAAGTGAAAATGCACTTTCCCGTGGATGCTGTGGAAGGTTCCAGGAGGGCACGAGTGGATATCATTGGTATTGCTACTATTTTGCTTTGAATGGCTATCAAATGTTATAAGAATGCTTGAGTGTACTACGTAGTTTTTGGCATCTTAATCGATTTGCAGTTTCACATCGGTGATAAACTGATAGCGGCATTTTCCAGAAGATTAACTTAGCTATTTACGGAAATGATGCACTTGATAATACATGGGCCGGTCGTCTGCTTTCTAAGATAAGACCACTGATATTGTCATCTCTTCGTTTCACCACCTGTCTAAGGGATCAGTTTTGCTACACTCTGATATCCTACTTAAGCTGCAGCTCACAATGTGGTTCTCCAGCTATGCAGATGAAAATAATTGGCCAACGCACGGGCTGTTCGTGCGAAGATGCGTTTTTTGTCTAGTTCCCTGCGGTTTTTATCGCTACCTGCATCGGTTTTTTCGGCAGATCTTTCTAGCTAAACAAATTAAGATTGGCCGCCAAAACTGGCAGGAAACACCCACTTAAAATTTCAGCTTTCTAGCTTTCCTGACTCCTGAGTTAGCAACTTGCTGGAAAAAAACTTTCACGGGCCCGTGCGTGTTTATCACGCATACCCGAGAGTTGGGTTTGAGTTGAAACATAGGTGGACGGGATACATCTT